TTAAGATTTAAAAATAGGGCGGACAGTGGGGGGGGGGAGAAGAACCATTGATTTCCCACTGTTACATTTACAGCATCAACATTTTCCATAATTGCCATAATTGTTTAGTTATTAAAAAATATTTCTATAACTATACAATTATTCAATCTTCAAACTAAAGTCTAAGTTCTGTTTTTCTATTTTGAGAATAAAACCCAGAAGTGATTTCCCAATGGAAACATGACTGAATAAAATCTCTTTCTTTTAAAAAAAGTTTACATAGCCATCTCAATTTTTTCCCATCCATTTTTTTCATTGTGAGAAATACTATATCTTTAGCTACACTTAAAATATTTTCTGCATAATAACAAAATATCACAATATTCTTTCAGTGTAATTCTGGGAATTGAAGTCCACACTTCTTAAATGTTGCTAGGGTTGAGAAATTGTGAGTTAACCAGTGAAAGAGAAAAAAGACAGGTTATGCTAGTAGTAGATGTAATGGTGGCTCCTGAAGAGCGTGACCTCTTGGATGAGACGTGACATGGAGGCATATCTGCAGGCCTTTATATACAACCATGAGATTGGCAACAAAGAGATTTGTAGTCCTGTTTAGTGGGGGGGGGGGACTTCTGAGGGTGGAGGGTAAGGAAACAAGAAGATTGTGTGTGAATGAAGGAGAGAATGAGAGAAAAAGAGGGCGAAATAATAGCTTTGTGTGAAGAGGAAAAAAGCATGTTGCCTATTGAATTAAACAGATAAGTGTATTCTAGCAATTTTGTTCAGAAATCTAAGAGCCATTTTTTCCTAGAAACAGTGCTGGTTATTTAATATACTCCAAATTCCATAGTGAAAAACTTAATACAGAATGTCAAAACCATACAGCTTGTGATAATGATTGGAAAGGATGGCCGTCATGGATTCTGAGCCTACCTCTGTCATGTGAATCTTAACATTTTGGATTTTTTCCTTGCTGATATACAACAGCTGCCTGGAGGTACCAAGAAAAATACTGACTTCTCCTTCCTGTCTATTAGTAGTCCTGAATAGTAAATGGATCCTGAACTCGCTGCCCTTGGCCGCCAGTGATCATAGTGTGAGAATCCTCCACCCACCCCATCTGCTGTGCCTGGTGGAAAAGAGAGGGCAGGGGAGATTGAATATCTTAACACCTCATTGTTTAGGGATCCAGAATGCAAATGTAGAACTGCATGAAAAACAGTATCTAAATGTGGAATTCCATCAGATCTCCATTTAAAAAAACAAAAATAAAATGAAGGCATTGTATTCGTATTTTAATTTTTGTCTGCATGCAAACTAGCAGATGAATAGATGAATGCTGTGGTAAACTTGGAATTATTTATGTTGGAAGTAGAGAAAGAGAAATAAAGTAAATTGAATATTGTTTTCTGCTGTTGATATCGGCAATATGTAGTGGCCATAGATAGTCAGTTGACGCAAATGCAAAATATTACCTTATACGTCATCTGATTATTATAACCATTTTCTTGCAATGCTGCTTCTTGTTGGTTAGATATTAACAGCGAGGTAATAAATACTACCCTTTGAGCTTGTTGATATCATCATTGGGTTAGGCTAAATGCTTGATACTGACTGTGGGCTCAGTTTTCCAACTATCGACTTTCAAAAGTGATAGGAAAAAGTATTAGAGATTTTAAAAAAATTATTAATGCTGTATTAAAATATAGCCCACTATGTTCCATGCTTTTATACTTAACACTGGAAGCATCTGTAATACATGATTTTTTTTTTATTGTTGCCCATCTTTAGTTTGTTCTGTGGACACATTTTATATTGTTTTGTTTGGATTATAGATTTTGTTTGATGCTATAGAAGCTTTCTTGGTGCTAAATAATAATACTGACATTGCAACTATAATATTAATCCTAGAAACAGTGCGTATTTAAATACATTGGCAGATTGGATGATGTGGTAGCTTACTTTGAGGCAAAGGGCATACAAACCATTGGCTAAGAACACCTAACTTTAGGTTCAATTCTACTCATGTATGTTACATTTATCTGGATAACTTGATGTTTCTAATTCCTTCTCCTTGTTCCAATGCTAGGTCTACTAAATTAACAAAATGTTTGTAAAGTTTAGTAAGTACAGAGGGAAAAAAAAGTTAATCCTGTGGATTATAGATAATGGCACTTTTTATCTATTTTTTCAAATAGATAATTATCCTTTGATCCTTTAGTTTATACATAAACTAAAGAGGAAGAATATTGACTTCTATAATCAAGATATAAAATAAAAAGTGAAATAATATGAAATGTTTTTGACAAGTCCAACTGCCCTCAAGATTTATTATAATACATAGTAAATAGTAGAAATTACACAAAAATGTTCATAAAATATTGAATCCAATATAGCTTCTTTTCATCTTTGAAGCTTCCTTGCAAAAAGTCTTGTTCACAAATATTACTGTCTAATTTATATTGAAAACTATGCCATCAGTTTATTAGTTCAAGATCAAGCACCTACATATATCAAATTCTGTTTTTAAAAGACACATTGTTAATGTATATTTTCTCTAGAAACAATTCTCATATTTGGTTATAAATAAATCCAAAGTTGTCAGAGCCATTTGAATANTTTTTCAGTGCCGTTGTAATTTCTGAAGGTCACTGAATGAGTGGTTGTAAGTCAAGGACTACCTGTATATTGGCTACTAAAATTTGGAAGAGGTCATTTTTGAAACCACATGTTACTTTGGAGATAATATATGAGTCACAAGACAATTACATGATCATTAAAAATAAAAGGACCAAACATCATGTGCTTTCAGGATAGTATGAATCAGTTATAAAACCAAGAATACAAAAATTTTCCCATTCCTTGAGTCTGTACAATCCCTTCCTAAGATAATAAAGATGTGTATGTTCATTCAGAATTTGAATATTATGGAATAATTAAGATGCTGCTGGAGAAATAAAGCTAGTTATTAAAAACAGCATTGTAGATTTTTTTATTTTATGGATGATAAATTGCTAATATTTTTAAAGGTTTGTTTAATTGCAAAAAATGTAAGAAGCATGACTTGGAAGTCATGTAAGAGAAGAAGAAAAGAGAAATATTTCAATTTTCCTACCAGTAAAAAAGTTTCAATTGGTAATTAAAACTCATAGAAACATCTTTTTAAAATACTGCATTAAGTTTGGCTTCATTATTAGCAAATGTCTTACAGATTGCACCTGAAAATATCATTGGTTGCACATCACCTTTATGAAAATTATTTCTGATTAACAAAATAACATTAAAAAAATCATTTTAAAGCATGTAGGTGGCTATTTTTTAAAATAAGATAGGGTCTTTGTGAATCTAGGTAAGTATCAATTATTAAAACTGACACATATTTTTCCAACTTGTCTAACCACTTCTTAACCCGTTCCACATTCTTTCAACATACATGTTCATACATTTCACTTTTTCTTTATCTCAATCCTCTCCGTTTGGCTTGAAGTTCAATGTGATTAATGTTATATGTAATTAATTATTTTTTACTTATACAAGAAATATTTTGTTAATCATTTCACAATGGAACAGGCTAATGTCATGTAGTTGGCAAAAAAATCCCTATATCCATTGTTCTTTTTCTCATTTTTAAAGAATCTGAATTCACACAATGTTTGTAATCCTAGAGTTGACTAAGTTGTTATCAACCTTATCATGTTGTATACTTTCATTAGTGTGAAAGTAGCCAGTTATATCTTTTATATCCATTTAGTCAGCAGTCATATTTTAATTTGCCTGGGTTTCCACGTGAATGGGTCTGTGAACTCCAGCATATTCTGCATGGTTCATACAGCTGCACACACAGCCCCAGGAAAATGGAATAGTTGCTTGAGCAAATACTCTATCCACATCACACTCCCTTTCTTTGGCATACAGCTCTGCCAGTCTTTTGTCTTGTACCTGCTACATTCCTGGCTGAGCTACAAACTGCATACGATAGCATTCTTTCCTAAATGCATCAAGCTAGAGAAGTATTGTTCTCTTCCAAATGTTTTTATTAAGATTTATTATAGTGCAAAATACAATGAAAATTAAGATTTAAAAATAGGGCGGACAGTGGGGGGGGGGAGAAGAACCATTGATTTCCCACTGTTACATTTACAGCATCAACATTTTCCATAATTGCCATAATTGTTTAGTTATTAAAAAATATTTCTATAACTATACAATTATTCAATCTTCAAACTAAAGTCTAAGTTCTGTTTTTCTATTTTGAGAATAAAACCCAGAAGTGATTTCCCAATGGAAACATGACTGAATAAAATCTCTTTCTTTTAAAAAAAGTTTACATAGCCATCTCAATTTTTTCCCATCCATTTTTTTCATTGTGAGAAATACTATATCTTTAGCTACACTTAAAATATTTTCTGCATAATAACAAAATATCACAATATTCTTTCAGTGTAATTCTGGGAATTGAAGTCCACACTTCTTAAATGTTGCTAGGGTTGAGAAATTGTGAGTTAACCAGTGAAAGAGAAACAAGACAGGTTATGCTAGTAGTAGATGTAATGGTGGCTCCTGAAGAGCGTGACCTCTTGGATGAGACGTGACATGGAGGCATATCTGCAGGCCTTTATATACAACCATGAGATTG